TAACATAATACAGTTGCCAACCCCAGATGTGGTGCTGGAGACAAAGAACACAAGCCCTGCTGCTGTGTAAATTCCCAACCAGTACATCTGTGACATTAGAGTAAATAGCCCCCATGTAAACAAGCTGCAAGGGAAGTAACACCCGGGGGCCTAACTGATTCAGGTGTAGTGTGGCAGAGCAGATTTCCCTCTGCAAGGTGGAGCAAAAATATCTAGGGCTTTTTTCTATTAAACATTCAAAATGTAAAATTTAGAAAATGTAACTTTTGGTTCATAAGGAAGAAATGTGGAAAACAAGCTCCACTTACCACACTTCTTTCTGTTGAGAAAATCAATGCAGGATGCTCCATAGTTACATACGTATCAGGAGCATACATTGCAATAATATTTCAGATCCAGTTTTGTTAAATTATTTCAGGGTTGGCAAAACATTTCTTTCAAAACCATACCAAAACATGTTTGTCTGATTCAGATTATAAATTCCCTCTTAGTTGCACCTTTTGCCATCCTGCTAGTTATTTGTAGGGGTCATTTATTTGTTTATTACAAATTATGTAAAGTAGTATCTCATTTTAATTTTTAAAGTTACTTTTAAGCTTTAATACATTTGATACTAAATTTAGAGTTTTATTGGGTGAGCATAAGTTAAAATGTTCCAAGGGAAAGTTCCATGGAATACAAAATATGCTCATCACCTTAGTGAGCGGAGAGGACAGTGTGGTGATTTATGCATTGTCTCTTAAAAAGAAACCAAGTTGGACACTACAAACCACTTTTGCAGTTTTGTAGATGGAATTAAGTTGTTTAAAATGCTATTATCTAGAGACAATCACATGGAATTAAGTTGTTTAAAATGCTATTATCTAGAGACATCTGCTGATACATGTTGTATAAAATAATGCTGGCAAAACAAGAGAGGGTTACAAAATGAGTGTTTTACAGTCTGTCAAATTTTTCCAAACTCCCTTTTGGAAAAGAGACCAGTATCTCTTCATTGCGCCTTTAAAATACACTGTGGCATCTCAGTTTTCCAAAACAAATGCTTCATGTTTAAAGATAATCATAAGTGATTATTTTTTTCTTTATAGCTGATGTAGGAAAAATAAAAGGTAAAGCAAGAAGTAACAGTGATTCCAACAAATTCTTTCCTAAAGAATACATACATATACACACAACAATATCCACAGCACACTGGAAACTACAGCAATGTTCCGTTTTGGAGGCTGCAAGCTGACAATTGTCCTGGTGTACTCTATTGATGCAGGTAGGCAGAGGAAAAGTAGACAACTGGAGGTAAAGAATCTGAGTTTGCTGTCTCCCTCTCTCCTCCTCCCACCTCATCTTCCTTTTCCTGCACACCCAACACAATACACGATTTAGCTGCATCCTGCTCCGCTCTTCTGGGCTCCAGCCAGCCGCGCCTCTGCTCTTTCGCCCAGTCCTCTGATCCCCCTCCTCTTGCTGTGCCCTCTTCCTAGGCAGGCAGCTGGAGAAGCAAATCCCAAGCCCAAGCGGTGGCTCCCTCTGCAGCTGTTCTCGTCAGCATCACCCCGCCCACGCCTCTACTGAAGGCGAGCACTGGCCTGGGAATGAGGGCGGGGAGAGTTTGGCGTGGCTGGGCGAGGGAAGGAGGAGTGAGGAGAGAGACAAAAGCAGCTTCCCATCCCCATACTGCTACACTAGGCATGTAGGCAGGAAAGTCTCTGGGTCAGCCGCTGGGGAGCCACTCTAGGGATTCCTTTCCTCGCTAGTAGCTCCGTGGGGCTGATCGAAGAGTGGCCCAGATGGCAGCAGCTGCTGAGGGCAGGTGCCAGCCTAGCAACGTCTAAACAACCAGAGTAGAGGAACCCTGAGGTCCGTGAAGAGACGGAATCTTCCGGAGCCTTGCTTCTTGGGGTTCCCTCAAGTCCCGGTGGAGACCTTTCACTTGCTAGCAAGTAAGTGCCATTTTCATGCTATGGTGTCCGGTATTAGGATGGCGATTGCTGCTGCCGCTTTTCCCACTGCTACCTGCCCCACCCTCCAGACACCCTGAGAGTCCCTAGCAAGACAGCGGAAATGACTGAGAGAACTACCTGCACTGACAGCAGCAGTAGACTGTGGGGTTAGCTCTGCAGTGGATGTGTGGTTGGCATCTCTTTCCCCCTGCGAGGTTTGGAAACCAAGGTGCTCTGGTGGGTTGACGTTTCTAGAAAGCCTGTATGGTGATGACTTCGGAGCAACATGACACAGACAGTGCAGAGAGAGAGAAAGGTTATGCAGGATGGACTGTGCTTCAAAGGCATTTAGTCTCTATTCTAAGGAACTAAAATTCAAGCCTAGTGCTTTCCTTTTACAGTAGAAATCATCAAAATAAAAGTAGAGGCATAAGTGTGAATAGAAATGACATGCTTAGTTTAAGCATCAGTGCAGTTTGGCATGGCTTTGCTCTTCAAGGTTGTTTTTGACATGTTTGTTTGCTTGCTTTTTTGTATTGTTTAGCCCTGTAAACAGGCAACTTCTGGAGCTTCAGTTCCCTCTGAGAAGTGATGATGTGACTCTGGTTAAATATTAGCTCTAGAAATTAGGGCACTGGTCCCATCAGTATAAGTGTTAAATTCTTGTGAAACTATTTACTAATAGGTCAGTTTAATTAATGGGAAAACAGAGTTCAGTTTCAGTATTGGCCCAGGAATGTATCTTGAAATAAGAATGAGTTTGTGTGGTAGGTGTTTCCCCAGGTTATCATTTAGGTGAGTAATTTTTTTTTTCTTTTTTTGGCAAAGAAGGAAATTGAACCTTGTAATAGAGTCTTGGGACCCATACCTGTTGAATAGCTTTTTT